AGGCCTAATCTGTGGGATCTAATCGGTCTAGTGGAGGTAATTGGCAGCAGGCGGTCTCTCAAGTTGGGGTTGGGGGGGAACCTGGGCCAGTCCTGGAGTCTGGGGAAGGCTCGGACGAGGGCTCTGCGTTGGAGGCAGAGAGGAGACCAAGGTCATCTGGTAGTTATTTGCTGCCTCTGGAGCCTAACATCAGCGAAGCAGAAGAACAGTGGGAGCCTGTTCCCAGTGTGCACCTGCACAGAGCTGCCAGAAGGCAAGGACAATTAGGAAAACAGGGTCGACTCGGGAGGCTTGGAGATGATTCCTCCCCCCCACAAAGACATAAAAGAGGAGCGAACGGGACCTCAGCCTTTGCAGGAAGCAATTAGTTCATCTGGTTCGGTTCAAGCCCTGAAAAGTTCTGTTTGACTCTGTGCTAAGTTTGGCCTTGCACAACTAATTGGCAATGAGGTCTCTGGCAGCGCTTCAAGGGTGATAAAGGCGGGTGCTTATCAACATTCTCCTGGGGGGGAAAAAAACGGAACCTCTTCCTTGTGAAGATTACAAATGATTTCGCGTTTAAGCTAAATATATACATTTAAAAAAAAAGTCTTGAAAACTAGAGTGGCCGTAACTTACAATTTGGAAATATGGATCGATTTTCAGAAGAGGAAACTTTTAACTTTGGAAAAGATTTGGGATGGAATTCAAAACTTATTGGCGGTAACTGGGAGAACTCATAAGAAGACAGTGTTTATACTAGAAAAAAATGATGGAGATGATAACAAAAAAATTAACTAAGTTTTATAATTAGTAAGTAGCAATTTAGTAACTTTTAGATTGCTATGTTAAATAAATAATTGATAATGGCAATAAGGTACAAAATAACCCCCCCCCCCACATTCTCCTGGAAGAGTGTGGCAACTCAAGCAGACGTCTGTCAGAATCTTCACGGTCAAGGTTTGCGGACTGTGAAAGACCATAATCCACAGCCGTATAAATACAAGAGGGTTTTGGGAACTAAGATTGTGATTTATGCTCCGGTCCTGTGGAACGATCTACCCGCAGAGATCCAGATCCTTCCCACCCTCTCGGCCTTCCGAAAAGCCACTAAAACCTGGCTGTTCCGGCAGGCCTGGGGCTGTTGACCCCATGAACGAGGTCCAGCCCCATCTAGGTTTGAGTGGATGGTGTGTTGCTTTTAAATCTGTTTCCTCTTTCCCTATATTCTACTTTTTATTTTACTGTTGTATTTGTAAGCCGCCCGGAGTCCTATGGGGTTGGGCGGCATATAAATTTATTAAATTACAATTACAATTTAAATTGCATTGAAAGATATTTGAGAATATGCCTGCATGTGCTTGTGTCCATCCACCTGCCCATACAGGCATACAGAGAAGCACATTTGCACTGAA